GGTGTATACATCCTTATTTATTTGCAGTACTTGGTAAATTGCTGCTCTTTAAATTTATCATCACATTCTGTGGTTTTCTTATGAATGAGAACAATTTTTGTAAAATATATATTTATATGTAAAACATTTTTATTTAATTATTTCTTAAGGAAAATTGGGTTGTCTTTTTTGGAGAAAAGATATCTCGTTTTCTTAATAAAACGCCATGCTACAAATAATGTACTGAGGCTTGGCCTACTTGAAAGATTCCCTACTGTAATAATCAAAATTCAGCTGATACCTTTTGCAGCTCCAAGATACAGCATCATTAGTGATAAACTGTCTTTATCAGAATGTCTCACAGCTAGACTAAAAATCAGTCACAGTAACAGCAGACCACTGTTCCTTGTCTTATTCTAACTAAATTGTCCCTAACAGCTTAAAAATGAGCTGCAAAATTCTAAAGTGATTTATGCTCTCTTCTGCCCTTGTCATGGGGGGACTTTTTCAATTCTGCAATCCGGATGGAACCTTGTACTGAACTTTTGATCCTTCTCTGCAGAAATTTGTTAGCTCTAGCTAGATTAGATTTTTCACAGCTAATCTAACTGCTGTAGGGGTTTGCAGAGTGGGGACAGAGCTCTGCTATTGGATTTGTCCAATTCATTTGACTCCAGGACTATAATTGCACTTATGTCTTACAAGGCTTTTATAGCCTCAGGCTGGCCAGCAGCATAAAAAACAAATTGGCAGTGATACAGTACAAGTGAAAGGGGATGAAAGGCCCACATTATCAGTCTCCAGGCAGCACTGTTCTGGCAGGAAGTTTCTTGGTTAATTTACAAATAAAACTTCGATTTTAGGATGGGCACACTGTCAGCTGAACAATGGGGATGTCAGTCCTGACTGTTACTTAGTAAACGTAGCAGCCGGGCCCACTGAGGAGCAGGAATTCTTCAATCAAACAGATGACTCCTTCTGGAGCCAGCTGGCGATGTAATGCAATTAGTCAGAAAAGGAGGTCAGCCTATTAGGTGTGTATCACGACCAGTGTCACCAGTGGATGGTGACTAGCAGCAGCAGGCAGAATGGCTCAGGTGGAGGGACTTTGAAACTATGGCATGAGGAGAGGTAGCAGGACATGGGGTTGATTTAGTCTTAAGACAGGAACGGAGCAATTTTTCTGAGCCTGGTAAGCATTAGTGTATTCAGCAGCCTGTTGTTAGCTGAACCACTGATTGGCATGAATTACAGCTCTATTCGAATAGGAGAACCATCAGTCTCCCTTGGATTACTCAAGAATCAGATGAATTTAACTTTGATGCACTTAACACACACACCTGCAGATTTCTAATTTCAGTGTCTTTAATAATCAAAACTTTCCAAAACTCACAAAACGACATTCCTATAATAAAATCCCCTTTGAAGCGAACAACATTTTGAGGCTTCTGGAGTATTCCCTTGTGTTCTGACATGGCTGGCAGTTTGGTCAGATTAGGTTTATTTGTTTTACTTTCTTATATTCTTGTTATAGACAGAAGAGAGTGTATTTTGCTTTTTATTTTACAATTATCAGCCAATTACTCCTGTGGCCTTAGCTGTTAGTTTTGTCAATTAGTTAATTAAACTGTGACATGCCCAGATGTCTGAGGCACATAACGTTGAAAGCAGCTATGAGATGATAAATTGAATTATTGACACACAAAAAATAACTTCCCTAATTTCAAAATTGTGACCATGAGAGAATGAGTCTCTTAGTGTGATACTGTTCTCCCTAGCTGTGGTTCTAAAATACAATTGCAAACAAAATTAGGAAAGATTTACTTGGGTTATGTAATTGAATTACCCAATTCAAAAAGAGGAGAGTAATTGCAGAATTTCAATAATCACTGTATTATCTCAGAGCTAATACTTTGCAACTTTCATTTCTGTATCAAAAGGATCTGTCACCTTGGGGGGTAGGAGTGCATGGGAGGGAAGGACACAGGAAAAAGGTAACTATGGGGAGAAAGGGGGAAGAGAGCTGTTGCATTGTTGGAAATTATAGTCAATGTCATGAGACAAAGTATATATGAACTACTGTATGGAAAATGAATTTGCTCTGTAAACTTTCACCCAAATCACAACAAAAATTAAAGGAAAAAAAAAAAAAAAAAACCACAAGATCTGTCACTTGTGTTTAGGGTGCTGGCATTGGATGGTAGCAGCACATTTGAGGAGTGTTTAGTAAGTGAGTTGTTGCCATTCAGACATTGATGTCAGAATTCTGCCAGTGGACACAGAAAATTGTCAGTCTTTGCATGATAGGGGTATAGGTGTGAGCACTGGGCTACTCCAGCTCTCATAATTACTTTCTGCTGGTCTAAATCTACCTTACCATCCTTCTCCCCAAGTTTCAATTAGATACTAGTGATGTTTCCCTAGAAAACACAGCTTTATTGTGTTGCTGGCAATCTGGCTACCAAGTTTTCACTCCAAAGCGATTCAATTTCAAGAGTATATTGTAAGGTCCCTACATGATTAAAAAAGACAAAAGGGAAAAAAAGCCATGGTATCTGAGATGGCAGTAAATATAGAGAGATGTTCAGTGTTATTGTGAGAAACCAGTGTCATCTTTATTTTTTTCTTAACTGTTCATGTAATGGATTGCCTGCTACCCTCTTAGACTTTTATGTGAAAAAAGGATGTACTAGCTAATTTTTCATTTTGAAAGTCATGTTGTTTTTATGTGCAGTCGAGTTAGACCCAACTCATAGCGACCCCTCCTTGGGTTTCCAAGGCGATAACACTATGGAAGTAGATTGCCCAATCTACCTTCCGAGGAGTAGCTGGTGGGTTTGAACCTCCAGCCTTCTGGTTAGCAGTCAAGGGCCTTAGGCACTATGCTACCAAAGCTCATTAAATTGCTTTGGATTATCGTGACTTGTGCTTGACTCCCACAGTTGCATTCGTCCCGGAGCCCATATTCAGACACAATTGAGTCGTACACCCCTCACTGTAAGTTCAAAGATACAGGTGCATGTCTCTTTTTAAATAATTGGCATGTACAGTTGTTCCTTGAAGTATTTGACAGTGAAGAATAAGAAGGAATTGCAGCAAACCAACTTCCTTTATAACCTTATAAATGGGAAGGAGGCCATGATGGGGTCACCTCTGATTTTCTTTTTGTGGTCATAGTCTATAAAGAAAGTTGCATTTATACGAACATGTTTTAAATGTACAGTATTCCAGAGCAACCTTTTATAACTCTGAAGATAATACTAAAATACTAGCTTTAACACACAGCTCTATTTTATTAAAATGCCTCTGAATTTAGTCATTTTTAGTGCCTTTCTTTTACAACAAGCTAGGAAGCAAAAACTATGTTTTCATTGTGGTAGTTAGCATCCTTCTATGTGTGAAAGGATTAAAACATTAAATTCTCAATAGATATCATAGGGCCTTTACCCAGGCAGCCTGTATGGTTACAGGAGTTCAATTTTGGCCAACATTCTAATCATTATAATCTGGTTTATTCAAGTCACACTTTCAGGCTTACTGAAATTATTTTATATGCAGCTTTTCCCAACCTGGGATGGTACAGTCATTAAGTAGTAGGTTTGTCAAGGGTGTTCTTAATCTGATAGAGTTTGGCCTTGGAAAAACTCTCAAAGAGACCCTTCTCTGGAGGCTTTCTAGTACACCTCCTCAAAGGAGCCGAGAGTCTATGATTTGTATTTGGACATTGCAGCCTTTTTGTGTATATAATGATTTAAAAAAAGAAAGAAAAGAGAAGATTGACTAAACTGTTTGACCTGTAATAACACAAGTAGCTTTTGGTATAGGTTTAGGTAATTGTGGAATAGTAGGAACAGCACTGGATTTGAAATCTCAGCCCAGGTCCCCAGACTCATTCTACCACATGCTGGGCATGTATGTTGGGTAGATGATGCTTTAGCCTTCCTGAGCTCCTATTTCTTCCTTGTAAATGATCTATAGAGATTATGTGGTCTACCTCAGAGAGTTATTAGAAAGATTAAACCAGACAATATGTGTGAATATCCCTTCTATACAGTAAGGTACTCTCTACATGCTAGGTACTATTGTTCTTATCAAATTCAGTAGTATTTATTAGTTTTCTAAACAAAAGTAATTTTATACATACGTTTTCTTATAGGTTTGTTATAAGTCAAGCTTCTTATACATTTGGTAACAATTGTATTATAATGGTTCTTTTATATTCATGTTCATTTTTTCTTCATGACCATTGAATTAAGAGTCTTAAGAAGCTCTACTTATGTAGAATAAGAGACTCATGTCATTAATTGTTCAGAAACATGGTCACCAATGTAAAACATAAGACTTTGATGCAGGAATAAAATTTAGTTTTAAAAAATTCTTGAAATATTATTTAGCTATAAAGAGAAATGAAGTCCTAATACATTCTGCAGCATGGATGTGCTCAGTAAAATATGTCAGGTACCAAAGGACAAATATTGTATGTTCCCACTTACGTGAAATATCTGGAACAGAAAATACTTAGAGATAAAACTTTTTAGTGGTTGCCAGGGTCTGGAAGGAGAGAAGAATGGGGAGTTATTGATAAAAGGGTACTGAGTTTCTATTTAGGGTGATGAAAAATTTTAGAAATGGATCATGGTGATAGCTGCACAACATAGTGAATCTAATTAAAGTCACTGAATTGTATGCTTAAAAATGATTAAAATAGAAAATTTTTTGTTACACATGTATTTTACTGCATTTTTTTTTTTTTTTTTTTAATCTTTGGAAAGGTCTTATCCCCACCCCATGGTAATGTTACATATGAAGCTTACATAAATTATCTCAGTACCAATATGTTTCATAAAAGATGAGCTGTATTTTTAGGCACTTTTGCTTTTTAAAATCTTCCATGGCTGTTGTAGCCTCTTTGATAGTGGTAATATTTTTGCCACTGAGTATTATAATTTAATTTGTAAGCCATGACCCTCATAAACTGCTGTTATCACTCTGATTAATAAAGAGCCAATTTGCTGTTGCAGCTCCGTCACTTGGGGAATGACGAGGTCCACATCGTCTGGTCTGAACACTCCAGAGACTACCGCAGGGGTATTATCCCAACTGCCTTTGGAGACGTTTCAATCATTATTTACCCAATGAAGAATCACATGTTCTTTATCGCCATAAAGAAGAAACCTGAGGTACATATTCACTGCCTTATTGCTCTGACTTATTGCTCTCACATTTGCCATGTGATTCATTCTTATTGAAAAACAATAGTATAATTAATGGGACTTTTATCAATTGATGAGTATCTTATGGATATCTGACTTACATGCGCTATGTGAGAATTAAATATGAATTGGAATTTTCATAAATCTTTCGTCATTAGTAAAAATTCTAGATTTCATTACTTGGCCCCTAAAAATTATAATGCCAAAGAAATTTGTTGTTTTTAAAAGCGTTAATTTTTAAAACTTTGTAATTTAAAGAAAAATTATAATTTTAAATTTTGGACACGTTGATTAGTAATAAGAGCAAGAGAAAAAAAAAAAAAAAGAAGAATGAACCATATGTCATACCTATTTTGTGGATAACTGGGAGTGTGGAATCTAGCCTTCCCTGGCTGATGTAGCTTGCTGAGCCTCTAATGCTAGTGGAAATCAATCCTGAGGATTGATGACATGTCTAGGAAGAGCCTGGGCCACCGTAGCACAGCCTGTGTGATGATTTTTAACAATTGAAGCACTTTGTCACAGAATCAATCCAACCATGTCAATTGGTATTGATCATGGAAATGGATGGAACAATCTATGTCTATGTACTGGATACTAAATTAGCTGCTGTTTCGATCCTTGTTAAACCTTTACTGGTATTTCAGCAGTGCTTAATATATACCCATTGCCAGTGAGTCAATTTTTACTCATAACAACCTTATAGGACAGAGTAGAACTGCCCCATAGGGTTTCCAAGGCTGTCATCTATGCAGAAGCAGGCTGCTACTTTTTAGTGCCAGTGGGTTTGAACTGTCAACCTTTTGGTTAACAGCTGAATGCTTAACCACTGCACCACCAGGGCTCCTTTGTTTTTAATATAGTAAGTTGTTTTTGAATTATGAATAGAAGAGTTTTTTGTTTTGTTTACTTTTTATTTAGCACTTTATGTCACTCTCAAGAACAATGACTTCTTGGTGGTATTTTCCAGGTTGACATTAAATACAACTCTTCGTTTCCATTCCAAATTGTTTTCCTGAAGGAGCTAAAGGTTACTTTTCTAAAAAGCTTATTTTTAAGCTTTAAAATAGTAAATAACTGGATTTACTGTTCACACTGGGATTATAACCTAATCTAAAGTATTAAAGTTATAAGGATAAAATGAGCTAATAAATGAAAAGTGCTTCATATAATGCCTGGACTATAGGAAAGTTGTCTAAGTGTTAGTTATTATTATTATTGCAATTATTATTTCTTAGTATAGTTACTACCATGTAAATGAAATACATAATAAATCCCAAATTTAACATGCTTATTATTGCTCAGACTAGATACAGCGTGGGTCAACTCCTGAATTCAGGAAAGTGCTGCTCTGGCTGTTGAAAAGCCTAATAGGACTGGTGGCTTTCTAAGATCATTGATTATCTTTTTTTGCTCAGATTGCTGACATAACGGGAACCCTCTTTCCTATTTAGGGTACAAAGATGCCAAAAGTTACTTCATATTTAATATTTGTATTATCTTTGATTCAGGTTTCTGTGTATGTGAAGTTTTCATTTTTGTGTAAGAAAATAAGTTCTTAGGCTGACATTTGTATTTGTCCATGAAGAACCATACTTTAATTTTAAGAGTTAAACCGAACATTTCAGTATTAAAGAACCAAAAATTTATTGTTTTGTAGCTTTCAAAACTAGAAAAACTGTTCTTTGATATTTAGCATAAATTAACTGGCTTTAATATTTACCATGGACTAACATGGCCCTGTGAAATGTTATTTAATGTCCTAAAAATGTCATCTTTATTTTTAAAGTAAATAACAAATATTAAAGCTGTTTCAGTTTACTTTATAGTATCAAGTGTTATTTCTAACAATGGTAATACACTTATAATGCATGAAAATAGACATTAACATAGAGTACCTTTTAAATTTTCTTTATATAAAATGTATTACTTTTCTAAATTTGGTCATAAATTCTGACAAGATGAATTGAACAAAATCACTTTTTTTAAATATTTTAATTCCAAAAGCCTAAAGGGAAGAAGAGCATAATGGCCAACGGGAAATTTAGTGTTATCCTTACATTTAAAGCAAAAACCATTACAATGTAATAAAATTAATCCAGACATTTCCAGGGCAAGTGTGGCTGACCTTTTGTTCACCAACCACTGACCCCGGGGTGAATGCAAGAGGCTCGTGGAGGGAAAGTCTGTTTGTTTGGCTTCAGTCCCTGGTATTTAAATTGCATTCCCTAATCAAATGAAAAGGCTGTCCTCTCTATCAGGTTACAGAATCCATGGCAACATTTGGCCTTTTATATCCATAATGTTAGCCTTTTTGTTTGCATCTAAGTAGAGACACCTGGAGCAATGTTAACATTAACCGATTTAGCATTAATAGCTTCATTATATAAGAATTTCTGATCAGATAGCTGTTACTTTTGTTATATTGCTTCAGCTTGTGGTGTTGTCATTTTTTATCTCCCTGCTTGGCAACCAGGCAGTGATTTGCAAATTTTTTTTGTCTTGATTAATTAAGCAATATAATTATCAGTAACTGTGATGCAGTCTTTGCTCAACAAAGCTTCTGAGAGAAAACAATGGTAAGTCTGTTAGTATGAATGCATTCCACGCGTCCCAGATGCATGAGGATATTGTGGACAATGAGAGGAAAGGCCGCCTGTGAGCGAGGACAAAGGGTACCATGCAGACTCGACACACTGCACATACCGCCAGGGACATGCTGCGGGCTCCCTGGGACACAGACGCCTCGTTAGATTACTGCTAGTCAGCGGAGATTAATTCTCAGCCATTTGGTGCAATAATTTACCCATTCCCTAGTCTTTTAACTAGTGCTCCCTACTATAGAAGTGAAGGCTTTGTACTCAAAAGATTTATTTAACCTTGCCTACTTTTAGAGATCTCCACCAAAATCATTATTTTTGCTTAGAAATTGTAATGAAGCAGCTGCTTGGAGTTGAGGAATATTTCTGTTGGGGGGGTGGGTGGGCAGACGCAGGGAAAGGATATGCATAAGATTTAGAAATTGTAGGTAGAGTCAAAAGCACTCTTTTACCACCTGTATATTTCCTCTAAATATAGTGTGACTCTGGTCTAAGTACATTTATTTTTACTGTTCTCTGGGCAGCCGTACTGCTCAAAATTTTAATCCTTTTTAGGAGAGGAGGGGGACATCAGTACACAAAAGTCCTGCTCATTGCATAGAGTCATGCATATTCAAATTGTGCTTTCATTCACTCTGACTCATTAATAGCGTATGTAATAATGTAGGGCTATTTGTGATACAAGCGCACAGGCAGCATTGCTTCCAAGTCCTTTGAAATTTAACATATTTCGCTTTTTCATTCCATACACCTCCCTTAAATATACAAATTATGTGCCTGGCAGAATCCGCCTCCTCTTAATAATACACAGTGTTTGTGAAATGGTATGTTGAAGATGTGTGTGTGCTTCTGTGAGGGCATAAAAACCCTCATGTCTAAGTGCCTGCTCACTACTTGAGCTTTTTAAGTGAAGTTTTCTGTTTCATTAAATAAAAAATCAGAGTGTGTAACAGCATCACTTTATTGTTTAATTATATTCAGAATAAATCCTTCTCCAAAATATAATTGTTTGGTCATGGAAGAGAAATTTTCTATTGTCAGACTTCTCTTTTTTACTCTTACTACAAAGTCAGTGGTCAGGGAAGACTTGTACATAGAGCAGAACGTAAGTGTTTTAAGGGGCTTGTTAAAATGCCCAATTTGTTCTTCAGAAAAGTGATTGTTAATGCTTTCACATTGCAGAGAGTACTCATGTTACTTTCCCTCTCTTTCAGTGTCTGAAATTTAATATTGGTGTTGGTATTCAAAAAATTTGTTTTTATGAATGTGTGAAAGGGAGTGTGAGTGGTTTTGACATGTCTCTCTCCAGGCACACTAATGGCCAGCTCTGGTTGGTTGACCAAAGGGTGGATGTTATGGAGCATCCTTGGCCAGGGCTAGTCCACACCAGAAAGAGCTTTAGGGAAAGGACTTCCTCATCACCCTACCCAGAACTTCAGCTTTCCAAATGAAAAGCATGTTAATGTCCTACAAAGTCCCTTTATTTAGCCCTGCTAGATATAGACACGGGAGAAAGCTGGATGATGATTCAATAATTTCTGAGAAATCTAGGAAAGAAAGAATAATAAGATAGATAATGGGACCCCAAAGTTCCAGTTTTAATGCTGGCACATGTGGTGGGTAGCTTGAGCAGTTCCCTCAGTTTCTTTGGGTCTTAGCATTCTCAGGTATCAAATTCAAGTTGAGGACCTAGGCCTCTCTACAGTCCTTTCAGTGCTAGGATTCTAAGTGCCACTTTCAGATGATGGACCCCCTTAGATCGCCCTGCCTCTCCTTCAGTTCTCCCAGCTGTCTCCCCTGGTGTGGTTGCAATAGTTTCTGACTCTCTCACAATCTCAGCAGCTATTATATGTGTATGTGTGTATGTCCCTCTTCAGGATGATATCTAGAAATATTGGTTAAGGCTAATGCACCAGTAGTCATGAGCATCTGCACATATGAGGCCTAGAGGAGCCCAGTATTGCCAGCTATGATTGAAAGGCTTTGGAAACCCAAACCTTTCAAACTTACTATCATGGCTTCATTAGATAGGGAGTGCGTTTGACTTTGCAATATGGTTATGTAAGTTTTTAATTTTTTTTTAATTAGAAATGTGCAGTTTTAAAAAATATTTATCCCAACCCCAACAAAATAATTTTTTTTTTTTGTTTGTTTGCAATTAATCATATACTTTAAAATACTCTGGGAAATTCTCAAAGAAAAGAAGTTAACTTTTGAATTTGCAAAGAATCACCTATTTAGATAAGAAAATTGAAAATACCAAACAGTTAAAATTTAATAAAATAAGTTATTAAGTTGATTACTGTTGTATGTTTTATTTTGTTGTTGTTGTTGTTATGTGCCGTCAAGTCAGACCCGACTCATAGC